GGTGCCTGACTTCATCGTGTGACTAATAAATGTGGACAGGACTTGTCAGGCCTGTGAGGAAGTCATGGCTGCCCTCGAGAGATAATATGCAAGAGCTGAAGTCTTCAGACAAGCTGCGTACTCACCGTGGCATCCCAAAGTGGCGCAGCCTTTGCATACGGCCGACTTCACGTACAAACCATCAGAACCAGTCATCGCATGAAGCTGCTTTCAATGGTGTCAAGCTCTTTTCAAGTTACGCAACAAAAAGGGCCTGTCAAAGGAGACTGCCAAGGATGACAAGGCACTCGCACATGACAGTTCCCCAATTCATGCACTTTCGATCCATACTACTATCGCCCAAGGGTGATGTTCATTGTGCTTGTTTCACCATTGTCTCCAATGGCTAGTTTGGCCACGCACGCACGCACGCGCACGCACGCACGCACGCGCACGCGCGCACACACACACGCACACACCCACACCCGCCCCCACACCCAGACACAGACCAAGACCAAGACACGGCCACAGACAGACACAGAGACACAGAGACACAGACGCACAGAGACACAGAGACACAGAGACACGGAGGCACAGACGCACAGAGACGCAGAGACACAGAGACACAGAAACAGAGACACAGAGACACAGAGACACAGAGACAGAGACACGATACAAGAGAGACAAGAGAGACAGAGAGAAGGAGAGACACGGAGACACAAAGACAGAGAGATAGAGAGATAGAGAGGCAGAGAGACAGAGAGACACGGAGACACAGAGACAGAGAGACAGAGAGACACAAACACACAGACACGCACAGACACACAAACCACACACGCGCTCGCTCGCACACCTGCCGGCGCGCATCAGAAATCAACACACCAATAAGAATATGACAGCTGAGTCTCGTCGAGTTATGCACATCATATTTGCCAATCCTGCTCAAACTTGTGCCTGACACCCGAAATGCGAAGGTACAGGCCAACATACGTTTTGTCTTGCTTTACCAGAGCGACACCGATGGAATTCGATCACCAGACTCATACCAAAGCTACGGCCATGGCCAAGGCGCTGGGCGAATGCGCATTGGCTCTCAGCTGCCGAAAAGAAGCGCCTAGGGCAGAAAGTGCATCCTCTTCCCAAAACCTCTGAACACCTAGCAGTGTCTCTGAACGCCCTTACAAGGGGAGCAATGCTGGGGCCCAGGGCTTAGCAATACCTGAGAGGCTTTGAGGCACTAAACGGCCAGTAAACTAAATCTGGAGCAAGGTCCCGGTTGCTTGCTGCGGAAGCGGGGCGGGGGTGCATCTTCAGTGCTCTATCAACTTCCACAACATGTGGAGCACGCCTCTCTGACTGGCCGGAACCTCAGCATTCGCTAAGCTTAAGCATTTGTTCAAAAACAGGGACGCTTTGTGCGACGGGATCATGTATATCGGCCATTTATAGGGGGCCCTGTATATCAACCGCTTCGTCCACTCATGTAGCTATGATTGACCCGCTTCACAGCTGGGGCAAAGGCGCCAAACCGTGGCCTGCTTCGTCCAAAGAACTGATTGCTTTGAAAGATGAAGGGGGGGGTCCTTCCTGCGGAACAAGGTGGCGCTGGCCTTTATCAAAGCAGCAATTACACTTACTCCTGCCGCTGTCCTCAAACCAATCGACAGTAACAACATCTCTACTTGGTACCATCGTTGCAATTGCTGTTTGCAGGAGTTGCGTCAAGTGGCCGTCGCTCTGGGATGAACCTAGCTGTTGGCTGTCCAACAAAGGCATGCCAACTGCTCTATGTGCAGAAAGGCAACTGTTGGAAAATTCAAAATTGCGAGGACCGTCCAGTGACCTCGGAGAGGTGGGACAAAAGCAGCCCGCAGGTGAAAGGCCGCAGTGCTCTCACGTGAGCAATCTAAGCGGTTCAACTTGCCTATCCAATCCGACCGCCCCTCTTCTTTGCCGAGCATCTGCAGGTGTCATTTCCAGCCTGCACAGGATGCCACCATCAAGGATTGGGCAATGGATGCCAGAACGGCAAAGCATGGCCAAAGCACAACCATTGGTAGGCAGGGATACCATGACAATTGGCTTCAACATTCAACAGCAGCAGCAGCAGCAGCAGCAGCAGCAGGAGCAGCACAAACACCGCCACAAGCAAACGACCACCCCCAAAGAACAAAACAACCACATCCACGCGCACCCCCATCGGAAAGCCACCGCACTGCTGCCGCTGCCACCACCACCACCACCACCACCACCAGCACCAGCACCAGCACCAGCACCAGCACCAGCACCAGCACCAGCACCAGCACCAGCACCAGCACCAGCACCAGCACCAGCACCAGCACCAGCACCAGAACCAGCACCAGCACCAGCACCAGCACCAGCACCAGCACCAGCACCACGACACACACACACACACACAACAAACACCACCAACAACCACAACCATAACAATCGCAATAATACGAGCAGCAAAAACCGCATCCCCACCATCATATCAGTGACTTAGGAGCAGAAGCAGCATCAGTACTACTGTCGCATAATATCAACGACAGCTACATGTCGTGTATATAACCTTGTTACCGTTGTACATAAATCATGCTCCGCAAGTACTCCAATGTCCGCATTGTTTCTGCACCCCAGGCAGTGCGCCTCGATGCCTTAACATGCTTGTAAGCGCTCCAGCTTGCTCCAAGCTCGCTGCAAGACAGCGTGGCACACAGTTGGGGCCAAACTCAAGGAGCCCCGACCATTCCACTGCAATGAGGATGCTGGGCCATGGCTGGATTTCCACACACACACAGACACCCAGGTCGTCTGATTCTTGACTTATTCTCAGCCGTAGCAGGCACATCATTTGTCACTTGCCCAGGAGCAAGCTGGGTCGGTCTTTGACTCCTTGCATGCCAAGGCTTGACCACTCATTGCCAGCACTTCAACAACTTTCTGGTTGCCCGCCTCGCATGGGTCGTCCTGGAAGAAAGCTTCGTCGACCTGGCTAAGAGTCACAAGGCACAACGCCAAGTTGTTAGAGTTGAAACGAGTCCACGCAGAGCGTTGCTGGTCGCGAGCTCCTGTGAAGGGGGCAAGTTGAACGCAAGAAGGGACCTTCCAAAGAAAACCCACAAGACTAAGAGAAGGTTGTGTGACCATCCCCGCTTCAATTCTAGCTGATCAGGTACATGATTGTGATTGGTTGTGTCCCCAATCACATGAGTACAGGAATAAGGTCAAGCCTATATTCTGCTAAGTTCTGCACTCATGCAGGCGCGAACTGCATGCTTTACCTCGATGTTTGACGAACGTTTTGCATGTGATTCGAAACAACGGTTGAGGCGGCATGATGCAGTATGTCAGAGCACTCGCAAACAAACATTGCTCCCATAGCCCCATCACATCGCGCTCACCCTTGGCACAAATCCCACGTTCGTTTCCTCACTTGGCGAATAGGGCCTTCAACAAAGTAGTAATGAATCACAGCCTGCTAATAATTTGGGCACAGACTGGACAAACAGAAACCTTTCGGGACCTTCGGTGGAACTACTTTGGAACCACAGAGCAGCTGTACAAGTATCTGTCTTATCCCGGACGTGGCCAGGAAGGGAAGATGCCCTAGGCTTGTCGAAAACAAGGGGGTGCAAACAATGGGGCGGCGCTTCTGGGGAGCTCGAAAACGAAGATTGGCCAAGCGAAGTACTTTCCTCCAACTGGCTACCTGACCTATTTTGGAAGCAATGCAGGGCTTTTGTTAGGTACCAACGCCGGACCCGGAAAGCATCACACAATGGGCCTGGACCGAAACGCAAAGACCAACACACCAAACAGTTGTTGCGTAAGTGGTCGAAATGCAAATGCCTTGAAGCTCGAGCATGCGGGATGGGCCTAATTCCCCGCAAACCCGGCCTTCTCTGTAAACTCGGACGCGACAACCAGCAGTGGAAGCAGCAATGGCCATTGCAGCATCATAACGGCTCTTCTGTGTGTGTATAGCTTCCAGTTGCAGGGTTCAACTCAGCCACTGAGTAGTTGGCGCAGCTCAAAAGCAACAGTGCAGAAACAGCACAAGAAGCCAAGGTTTAGCAGATTGGCTCTCATTTCACTGTGTACCTGAACGCTGCAGAGGTGTGCAAAATACTTGGAGTACACTGACGATCTACACGCTGCGTTGCTTCTTGTCAGAAGTCTACACTTGTGCTAAGCTGCCCTGGCCCTGGTAAAGTGTGCTCAGGCATCGTGGGGAATCTTCGCATGTCGGTCAAAAGAGTATGACCGGCATCTGTATGTACACGGCCCGCAACCGTGGCTCTGGAGCCAAATGCACAAGCGGCTGGTTAATGTCCTTCTCGAGTATGTTTTGTTGCTTGCGGGAGACTGACGACAAGGGTATGTTGGCATCAACAATATCGCTCTTGACCTCAGCTCTCCTCGCTTCATGTCCTTGAACCTTCTACTCTGTATCTGATTGGTGCACTTTTGAGCCATACCTGCTGAACTCCTATGTTGCCTTTGTGGATTTGACTGACTGTGTAACAAGGCCCGGATGCACTGGTCGGCCACCTTGTCGTAATTCCTTGACATGAATGGACTCTCCTGAAATGTTTTCTGCATTAGCAGGCATCTGCTCTGCTAAATGGACGCGTGGCCATCAAGATATGGGACCGTTGTCTGAAACCATGATCTACTGTAGCAACTTGGGACCCAAGTTGCTCCCTTCTGCGCCTTCAAAGGAGCACTTTCAGGCAATCATCTTGACAGCGGCGGGGGGTTGACAAAATCATGGTCCGGTTGGGGGCCCCCCTTTGCAGTCGGCACAAAACGACACCAGAGTTCCAACAGGGGCCTCACTTCCGTCAAACTTGCATGGTGTGCCCTAACTTTAGCGGACTCCTTGAATTCTTCTGTTTTGCCAAATCTATTTAGGACATATAATATGGGTGTGTCCTTCCCGCGTTTTGGGCTTTACTCCCAACGGTGGTTTCCCGTAAACAACCCATCCCCCATCTTCCCAGCGCCGGAGCAGGCGCCCACGGCAACGTGCTCGTCGAAACCGTTGGCATCCTGAGCAACAGGGCAACCTTTGGCGCGTTCACACGTTGGTCTTCTGCTTGGCCCAGACACCCTAAGTTCTCATGGTTTCCACCAGGAAGCCCATCTAGTTCCTCAACAAGTCTCCGGAAAAAGACAAATATGACGATTTGATGGGACCAAGTTATAACAACAGATGTGAAGTGAGTGATTCCATTCATCAAAACTATCAAGTCTAAGTTGCGCCACACTTGCTTGGTGACTGCCCGGTCCTTCCGGAGAAAAGTGACGTGGGGATTCTTGATCTCGCTCACGACATGATAGTTGGTCACCACCTCAGCACCAGGGCCACAGGGCCACAGGCTCATGGGCCAACAGCCTGGCTCAAGCAACCGCCTTTCGCTGTTGAAGCACACGCCTTGCATAGCGTTCGACCTGACTCTTCATTTTTCCCACAATGCAAGAGTTCATGACGCGGGAGGTTGTCCCGCCAAAGCTCGTTGCTCTAAGCTTCTCACATGGCTGTTGTCCCACACGAAGCCAGTGCCAGTGGCGCCGCCTGCAACTGCCTGGCAGTTAGAAAGCAGCACCGAGCTGAGCCCAGCACACCTTGGCCCAGTGAACTTGATCTAAATCAAACCTATTTACTTCCTGTTGGATCATACACAGCACCAAAATAGCAACACAATTGGCAATCGACTACACATTTGCAGCAGGGAACAACGTGAAGTCTGTACATGACCATGCATGTGGTTCACGCCCTTGTAATATTCAAGAAGCTCCCGCACAAAACTGTGTGTACACAGAAGTCAACAAGCTTCTATCCATGGTGGCAACTCCGCCTTAAACTCCGTCCCGTCAAAGTTGCTGCGAGGAAATAGAGGCACAGTCGGCACCACCAAACATGGATGCACTGGAGACGGAAACGAAACGAGCCCAAGCGGCTGTGACGCAAAAGAGAACAATATGGGTGTGTTTGTGATTAAGGAAACCCTCAAAATGGTAGGCTTCCCTTTAGTTTCCCTTTATGGCAACCTATCAACGGCACCCTCTCAGAATGACAACCCCATGTGGGAACATTGTGAATAAGAAACCAGCATGAAACCACTTTCCTTCCAGGAGTCTAACCAATATTGATACAGGTGCCCCTAAATGGACGTTGGAAGGCTTCCTCATGGATTTCGATTCAATTCTTGTTCCGCACACCCTCTCCCCTTCCAGCGCACCCCACTCCAAGCCCCGCACGCCGAGGGCTGTGGGCTTCTCTGAAACGCTCAGGACCTGCGAACACACGTGGAGCTTCTCCGGCCATCGACCAGCGTGCCACACAAGCAACGCGTGGGACTGACCCGAACAAACCAAATGTCCTTTTTTTCAGAACCGGAAACAAAACCACACATCACCATAGATTCTGAAAGCAATGCCAACAGGCGCTTGGTTAAAAACAGACCATGTATTCCGAGATGATCCACTGCCTGCGCTATTTGCCGTTTGGCTGCGCTCATACTGCCGTCGTCACACATCCAAGCAGGATGTTCCATACGCATATTTCATTTGGATACTGAATTGGGCCTCTTGGATTTGGGTTCGGAGTTTGGGATTACTCCCCTGCAAATCAATATGGACCTCCAAAGGGAGGTTCCCCAAAAGTAGTTTCATCTACAAATTCTGGCGCTTGGGACTCCAAGCCAATCTGAGCTCTCCTGAGTGGGTTGGCCAAAAAGTCCAAACTTGTTTGCCACAAAATGGCCATCCCAAGGGGTAATGTAAGTTTATCCCCAAGTGTCAAGTCCACGAACTCAGGAAGTGAAGGAAGTGAGGTAGAGGAGTACCTCTTGAAAGGTACCCGGCAAGCCGCGCATTAGGCCCCCGACGCTGGGCGAGACCCGCTGGAAGAGGCTGGCCGCCCGCAGCTCCTCCGGTTGATGAGATCACTGAGCTGCCCATGTGCCAAAGGGGGACCGAGCCAAATTGTGGTATTTATCCCAGTGTTTTTTTCGGGTTTCCCTTGCCTCAGAAAAAAAAAAAAGCCGTGAACTAATGCTAAAATGTGGAGCATCCCAACTTCAAAACCTACAGCTGGCTCAAAAATAATGGTTGAAGAAAGCCTCCCATTTGATGCTCCTCTTGCTGTCCTTTGAAACCAACTCCTCCAACTAGGAAATTCTAGTTGGAGGTCCTACGATGGGTACAAACCTATGTCTGTCAGGCTGTCTGAAATCAGAGACCCGCACAAATGGTAGGTTCACGCTTCTGTCCCCGTAGATGCGCCCAATCCATGCTTGAACACTGTGAAATGAACAACCGTTAGCTCATACTGCTTTAGAGTCGCGCTTTTAACGATTGGCTGAGCTTTAGCAACGATGGCTATCAAGATTCGTATCACAGCACTCGTGATGACCATGTTACGCCATCCAAATGCATAGTTGCTTCAAGCAAGTCGGGTCTGCTTGTAACAGCACATGTAAGCAAAACTTGTATGAAGGCCACAGGTGAAGT